CGTACTTGCCGTGTAAATATGGGTTTTGATTTACACTTTTGACTGATTTGCGGGCCATTTGCCATCTTGAATTGTCTTCTTGTTGAGATTTCATATCTCAATTGCATTCGAAATGTTTGGTATTTTAAAGAAGGGGTATTGTTTGGAGGAGGTACGCTTATAATGCAGCGAATGAAACCAGCATTGGATAATTATGGTAAAAGACCAGAAACTGTACATCGAACTCGTTTATTTAAAGGCTTTAAGTATATCTTTTCTTCAGACATTGACGGCGTCTCAAATGTCTACATATTTGTAATAAACCTATAAAGGATTATTGCGTCTGTCTGTCTTAGGAATTATATAGTGGAATAATTCAGCATGATTTGTCTCACGTTCTCTTATAAGTTGACTAATATTGCATTAAAAGTGGTAAAAGTTGGTGTGCTAACCAAGATTTCAGTGTATTTGTTTGCTAATATTGCTAGGCCTATATCTCAAACGCTATTTGCCTATTAAAATATCATATGACACGCAATTTTAATTCCACGGCAAAACTGCTGTTGCGCAAATAACAAACGCGAGATTAAATAAATATGGCAGTATTACAGTTTAGTAATATTTCATTAAAAGTGGTAAAAGTTGGTGTGCTAACCAAGATTTCAGTGTATTTGTTTGTTAATGTTGCTATATCTCAAACGCTATTTGCCTATTAAAAATATCATATGGCACGCAATTTTAATTCCACGGCAAAACTGCTGCTGCGCAAATAACAAACGCGAGATTAAATATATGGCAGTATTACAGTTTAGGTATATTTTAAATTGCTAATAGATCACACGGAAACTTTTTACAATCGTTATATTCAAAAGCCTAGCGTGCAAATTCACATATTTGTGTTTATTCAAGTGTTATTCATGAATTCGCTATTTACATGCGAAGCGACAAGATATGACACGGTATTTTTCAAGTGTACCGTGAAACTCCACTGACAAAATGAGCCTGCACAAGTGGGAGAAAATTTGCGCATTCTGACCATCGTGGTGTGTCTTCTTATTACTATTAAATTTAACCAGCATGGCAGGCTTTCTGGGTTTGGAGGAGGGTTTGGGGAGTTAAAGTTTACCAGGCTAGCCACATGTACGCATTGCGTACCTATTTTTTTTAAAATCAGAAGTGCTTGCCCGATATTTTTTTTTTTTTTGGGGGGGGGGATTTATGCACCCCCCCATCAGATATCTAATGGTCCACCCCTTAGCAATCTCGGATCCCTGAGTACGAGGTTGTTATTCGAGCTATATACATATTTGCGTTGTCCTGTGTTAACATTCAATCTTATATTGTATAGTATAGAATAAATGCAACTGATTCCCAAGCAGTTACTCAGCCTAAGTCAATAGCCTACCTATAGACCAACATTCAGTAGCAGGTTTAATTAAAGCCTAAAAAAATTGTTCGATTCCGATTTCCCCAGCGATCCTACCTCATGACACCTGACCCTATTTTTATATAATTCTTTGGTGGCAAAATATAGAAATCGTTTTCAGACTCCACTATTCATTGAAATTCGTGCGTGTTTTATCACACACATGACAGACAATATATGAGACGCTTTTTTGTACCAAATGTTATAAAATGTGTTATAACGAAGCATGAAAACTTTGTTGTGAACAGTTCACTGTAAGACGCAAGTTAAAATTATAATTGTCTCGAAACATTTTTATTTATATTATTAAGCCGTAATAAGATGGTTTCTTGTGAAATTTGGGTAAAACAAGCACTCGTGAGATTTTCAAAGACCTCAAACAGCACTCATCCTTCGGTCTCGTGCTACAGTATTTCGATGCTCTTTGAAAAACACACTCGTTCATGTTGAAGCCATCAAGTTGCACTTGAAATCCATCCTGTTACCTATACCAATTGAATAAAAATATTGACAAGCCATTTGAATAAAATCCTCCGACCTACCGAAGCATGAACCCGGGACCAAACAATGTTTTTTAGGCCTGTACTCAGCAGTAAGGTGTTGTTTCTGTGTTCTAACCAAAACGATAAACAAAACCCTCGATCAAAGTGAGCAACTTACTTTGAAACTTTATATTAGCAGAATGCAGTGTTCGGAAGATAAGATTCTTCGAAGTATAATGTTGCATTGAAATTTTGAAACAGAGGATAAGGTTAACTGGCGCAAAAACCAACACGACAACTAGACGAATCTATAAATAATAATAACTTATTAAAGATTAAACAGGATGTGTCTGCCAAGTTCACCAAGCCTGTGGTTCATAATATACATGTTCATAATCCTGTACTCACAGTTTCCCGACTGACCCGCGCTTTTTTTACTTCCCATGCACCCTGTTATCTTGGGTGTGGTTGAGGATGTTTGCTTATCTACTATACCGACTTTACTTTGCTTACTTAAAATATAAAACGTGAGGCCAAAGATGACGTCCATTGTCAGTTCTTGCTTTTTAAAAGGTTATTGTGTTGCGGCAATGCCAATTCCTGATCACACTTATGATTAATGTCAAGCAAACTTAAATTTTTAAAAAAGATTGTTTTTACCCACCTACGTTATATATCCTGATTTTTTCACAAGAAACCAGAACCACAGGATTTTTTTGTTAAGCCTATAGCAGGGAGGGCGCTAGGTCTCCTTCAATTGAGGGGAGGGGGGATGAGGTATAGTTTTGCAGAATCATTACAGTAGCTTGGTCTGTATATACGAGCACATTTTTGTAAACTTTGGTATTGCATATACGCGGATTACGCAAATGTCTCCACTTTGACAAGAAAAACTCAGATCTGTAGACAACAGTATACGTGACTGTTTTTAATTACACAGGGGTTCTTAGGGGTTCCGGGGGGGGGATTTTAAAATGCAGAGAGTCAATTGACTATACCTCAATGATTGAAACTAAATTTAACCACGCACAAAAACTGTTTCCAGCCTGACCGCTGTCAAAAAAAAATTCGCTGCATATATATAGACTGTTGGACTGTTTTGAAATTTTCAATAACCCGCTACGATTCAATACAGCACATCATGATATCTATTCACCTGACTTTTTGAAGTATTAAGTTTTATATTTAAATTCACGTTTGGCTTTAATGCAGATAATTCAATTTGATAATTCGGTCCGTACCCAAACAGCTCAATTTTTGCCAAATGAATTCGTTCATAACCCACACCCCGTCTAGCGCCGCCCCTGACCTGAGCCATATTGGGTGGGGAAAGAAAACCAGGCGACCCAGAGAAAAGTCTTGGTATACAGGAAAGTTACTCGACCTATAACCTCGAAACATAAAGGCCTGATTCCACGATGGCGAAATTCTTCACGAGAAATTGTGTCTGCGAAATACGGATGGTTGCGCGAGCCATTGAATTTCCCCACTTTTTCCGCTTTTGCAGTGAGTAGAACTGACTTATACTCACTGGTGAAGCGAAGCCTAATTTATATTTACTGCGCATGCACCTAATTCATTTCGCGCGAAATTGTTCGCATTTCGCCGAAGAAAGTGCCCGTGGAATCAAGCCTTAACATGCATTTACTACAGCTACAAGTGTTTGTGACTATTTTACATAAATTATATGAATTAGTTCATGTCTTCTGGCACAACATTAGGTACACGAACAAACTATATTACCAGTAACACCGTACTCCTTTTAACAGCAAACTGAATGATACAGTACACTACAATCGATATGATTGCAAGCATAAACGCCCAAAGTTGGTAAGGTCGTTCTCCAAATACTCCATGGTATATATAGATCAAACAAAACACTATAAAGAAACATAAATGACATGCTAAATCCAAATTGAAGTAAACCATATTTTAATATTTCAAGCTAAGAATCATCAAATTCACCAGATAGGTATTTTATAGATAATTATTTATTATCCACCACATAGTTTTCAAGCTTTCTTAAATTGGCCATTGAATAATTTAACGAAGATAAAAGTTCGATAAAAGTATTAATCCTGGAGGGTACTAATTCCACCAGTATACATTTACACCAGTGGAAAGGATAATGCTATATTTTTATACACCAGTGACCAGGGAGGGAACGCATTAACAAGGTCTAAATTAGTTCATCAATGATCGCGGGCGTGTCATTATATGTTTCATGGGTAAACCTCCAACTGATCTCAAAAATATGGCCAGTTTCATGAGTGGTCAGTGAAATGAGTGTGAATGGATAAAAAACATCAATGAGAAACGCGAAAAAATCGTTTAATGGGACGAGCAGCTAAACAATTTATTTGTTTTTGCTTGATAACAAACGAATAGGGGAATTATAGATGGCAGGTAATCGTAAAACGTAAGGTAAGTTAGCTTTTAAGATTGATGTAATGTTCGCTTTATTAAAAACTGATGCGTCTAATAAAAATGAGAGCGTATTCTGCGCATTATTTTCATAAATTACCAATTTTATGAATTTAGATTACTAAAAATCTTTAAATAAAGAGGAAAGCAAAGTTATTTTCATGAGAAAATTGCATAATTATTGCTGTTTGACACTCAAGTAGAAGTGATATTATGTGATAAAAGGCAGTTTTATGAACTTTTTGTTTTGCAAAGCGCATGTTTTTATAGACTGCGGTATGTTTTTCTGGTATAGGCGTAATATTTCGAAAGCAACGATCCACCTTACATTCCGTTTAAAATCCCTTCGGCTTAGATGCCGTTACATTGGAATGGTGGTTTCTTTCGAAAGTCGCTACTAACTGTGCTTTCAAATGTGGCCATATACGCCTGTTAAGGTTACAGAACACCTTTGAGTGTTAATTTTGCCTAAAATTTTTTCGATTGGTTTCCATGAAAGCATTAGACTAGTTCTACTATCTGACCAAGTTTGAACGAAAAATGTTGAAAACGCGCAGAGTTATTTAATAAAATACATTTCGCTGCACTCAGAAAAACATTGAAAATGTAATATTCAAATTCAATTTTCTCCCGAATAATTTTACGGCAATTACTGATTTTCAAACGAGTTGTTCTCCTGCGGGTTTTAACATATTTTTTTTCAAATTTTCACAGGACATATAGCTAAAGATGTCAGTTTCAAAATTGTGTTCGGCTTTTTTTTAATTTTGGATATTTTAATAATAAAGAGCAATTCACTCAAACAATTCAGAAATATATTGCAGTCGTCAAAAAAATCGCCATATCAGCGGAATGACGAAATAAACAAAAATTTCCGAACACAATTTTTTAGAACAACTATTTTACTGTATAAAAATGATATTTTCATAAATATAACTTAAAATCAGCAGGAGCACAACTCAAAAGCGTAACGGTACCCGTACCGTGAATAATTCTTACATTATTTTATTGTTTGTTAATTTTACAACTTTACCATATTTTGCATCCACTGGCGAACATTTAGTGAAAATTTAATTAAAATCGGACTGATATTGAGCGCGCAGTAGCGATTTACGCAAAACGCCAAAAAGGGTATCCTGTAACCTTAAATGGGTTAAAATAAAGCTTGCAAATGGTAGGAAACATCGTTAGCAAATTAAATATCATATAATAATATACCTCAAATTCAAAGTGCATGGCCAATCAGAAAGCTATCGTAGGTAGATAGGTAGGTAAGATAGGTAAAAACTTTATTTAAAACGCTAGCCTCGTCAACATAGTGCTGATTTCCACGAGGGGCGTCACACAAACAATACAAAGAAAATAATTAAGTTAAAAAGTTACAATTTAAAAATACTATATACAAGAGTTAGTTTAGCACGTATAGCACAGAATCTTCCTCTATAGCTTGCACCTATCTCTCTTTTGAAGCAATCACGAGTATCCGCCGATTTAGCTGCAGACGAAAGGTCATTCCATAACATAGCGCCGCTGTGCTTAAAGCTTCTTCTTAGATATTCTGTTCTAGGTTTTGGAAGAGTTTTAACATGATTTAAAAATCATTTTCGCTATTTCTGAGATTGTAGGTATTTTGTGTCACATTCCGTTTGTAAAAAGATTCTTTTAGACCCGGGGCAGCGTGGTCATTTAAAACTTTGTACTTGCATTTTTGTACATATTTTATCAATATGTTTTTCCCAGTTCAAATTTTCATCGATTTCTACTCCTAAGCTTTCAAGAGAATGAATTAATGGTACTGGTTTGTCGCCAAAAAATACAGTAGCTTCACCAATCCTATTTTTAAGATTGTATGGTGATCCAATGAACATCAATTTTGTTTTAGTTGGATGGTGTTGTAACTTATTTTTGGTAAGCCAAGTGTGAATATTTTTTAGATCATCATTTAGGTTTTTAACAAGTGTATAAATGTATCATAATCAAATGATGCAAAAATTTCAGTATCGTCAGCATAGAGGCAAGGGGTTGTAGATTTTAGACACTTTGGCATATAATTAACATATAGTAAAAATAATAGTGGGCCAAGAATTAAGCCCTGTGAGACTCCACATGTTATTTGTCTAGGAGACGATGTATGACCATTGACAAAACACACTTGTTGTCTCTTTGTTAGATAAGATTCGAACCATTTTAGTTCAGCTCTATAAATTAGCTATGTTTATGCTACGTGAGCATGAAATTTATTATCGAATCGCGCCTTACGTCATCGTATTTGACGTAGCTGATTTGATCATATCACCCGGGTGATATGTGGCAAATTTTATATTCGCAACTTGGAGGCCGTTTAATTTTCGGTATAATAATATATCATTTATAGACCCTCCGCTAATACTGGACACGTATATATTATTCCCTTTGGGAAATGTTTAACAATTGTTTAAAAGGCCATTTCTTGGCGCGAAACTCATGTCTCATGCCAAATTTCTAAAGAACAGCAAGACACACAGTTTTATCGGAGAGATTTACAGATAGTGGCGTAAAAGTGAGGCCAAACACGTGACTCGAGCTGAATGTGTGAAAGTTGGAAACTGTTTAGTATCATATAGATGTCATACGCTACCTGAGTTGACTAAAAGTACCAATCCAAATGTAGAGTCTGACTCATCAACTGTATTAGTAAGACGATAGATTGTCATGGCAATAACACCAAGTGTACTCAGAGTTGCCAATATGAGGAAGGCAATTTCAATCTTTTCCAAATCTGAAGGGACTCTTATCTAAAAAGATAAAGGAGAAAAATTATTATTCGTGTCGCTGTAGCTCTCATAAAGTGGGTAGGGTGGGGGCATGAGCTTCAACATACACGAGAGTGATCAGTTTGCTACTGTAGTAATCAGAGTTATTGTTTAGTATGTACATGCTCTATTGGGAAGATATTGGGAAGAGATGGAGTATATTTCGTCAATCGAAATAGAAAACTGCCCATATTACAAGAGATGTTCATATTACGAGAGATGTCGATAATATTACGAGAGATGTCCATATTAAGAGAGATCTGCATGCATATTAAAAAGATGCATGCATGTCCATAATAATATATTTGGAGAGCAATTCTCAACACATTTCAGGTAAACGTTCACCATCAGGGTTATCCTTAATCAGGCGGTAACCGGTAAAATTTATCGTTTCCACAACCACTGATTACCACCTGGTCATGAAGCCAGGCTAGAGTTTGTGTACATTTGTTAAGAAATAATTAGTTATAGGGTTGTGCAAAAATCCCATAATCAATCAGATATTGCTGACATTCCACACTATTAATTGTGTAGTATCGATTGAATACAGAAATATCCTATAAACCAGATCGATGAAGAACAATTTTTGGCGGGATGTTTATATTATCAACGTAGCGTAGGCCTGGGGACTGAGTAATTAAATAACTATAAATGTTTATTCATAGGCATAGCTTTTTGTTGTAAACACAGTTTTATGTAAAAATGGCGTGTTTAGAATATATAATCTTTTAATTAGTATTCTATAAACGTTTAAATCTTCCCTCAAAATGCAGGAAATGCCATTTCGGAGAATCCATATTTAACACTTTCTTGGGCTACAGTATGCCTTGGACCCACTATTAGATCAGCTGAGTGCTTGGACCTCCTAGACTGCTAGAGGTTTGTAGGTGCGGCGTGACCTTTATGCCTATCTAATAACCTGTTTTACCTGTCCCGCTCACAACTGTGGAGAACCCGCCCATCACTTGCTTGTATCCTAGCTCTTGTTAGCCTCTACAAGGAGCTACTCTTGCTTTATGAGCGAACATTTTATCATGAGATCATTTTGAAAGCACGAAATACCAAGAATATCTGCTTTATGAGCGAGAACATATATTTGTACCACCTCATGTGACCTTTAGTTTTCGGGCAGGCCATATGCATATAATTGTATACATGTTACTGATGTTAGCATAATTATCAAATTGAGTCGTAATAAATGCTTATAAGTTATTAAAACATGCCATATATAAAATTAATATACACCGAAACACTGAACAATATTGTCTGCATGGCGTCTTTACTTCATAATTTATGCATGTAAAAGCAACATTTCATATTAATTATTTAATATACAGTATATACCCCATGTTTCAATTTTCAAGGAAATTTCAAGAAAATCGTTTTAGTGTATGGATATGCTATAAAGGAAATCCAAATATATTTCAAGAAGTTTTTAATTAATGTATGATGAAAGAAACCAAAGACTTTTTAAGTCAAATATATTGACTTAATACTGGTCTACTGTAGTTTGTTTTTTTTTGGCAATTTTTACTAGCCCAAAACTTTGAAACAAAATCCTTTCTTGGATCCAAAACGATATTTTCTTCCAGGATCCACCACTATTTCCAGGCCTGTCATTTAGAAGGAGGGGATTTTAGAAGGTCACATGAGTATATTTTGGTTTAGTGTTCTTCTGGTTGTATCAATTATTGATAATAAAGAAACTGTTCTTTATCACTTATTTACTGAGACCGAGGGAAACAGTGTGTTTTGTGGACCCGAGACCGTCGATGTTTCCCGAGGCTAAGCCGAGGGTCGGGGGTCCACAAAACACATCGACGGTCGGGGGTCCACAAAACACACTGCTTTCCGCATGAGGTCTCAGTAAATAAGTGTTTTATTATATATCAATAGTCAAAGAAACAACAAATTAAAGAACAAATGAACGTAAATACATGAAATATTTTATTGTTAAAACGATAAATTAAACACTACAGTTACTTAATTAAAGCAAAAGTTTAAATTACTAGGCATGTCCAAAGGTCGCATCTTCACGTATGGCGCACGTGATTTTCCCCGGTTATTCGCCGGTCGATAACGTATTGTTTCCCTCTCGCGTTGTTGCGAGGGAGACAGCCTAATTTCGTCACTCTCACATGATATGCTCTTGACCAATAAAACACTAGAAAAATGCGACTTTGACTACTGATATATAATAATGATTAGTATAATTACATAGGTGATTATTGAAAATTCTCCACGCTGATTGGTTGCCGTTGAGGTGATTATTACTCGATAATCACCTAAGCGATTTTCAAAATGGCGGCCGAAGCCTTTTTATCAATTAAATGACGAAGAAATGTGTATTTTCTTATTTTTTCCAAATAATCACCTATGACATTATACTAAAACAATTATTCACCTCAGGCTCGGTGATTATCGTGAATAAAAACCTCGACTTCGTCTCGGTTTTTATTCACCGATAATCACCTCGCCTTCGGCGAATAATTGTTAATTATTATTACATGACAAGCATCGATGATCACTTCCCGACGTTCCCGTGAAATGGCGAAGTCCTGTGATTGGCTGACAAGCACTTTCAGCGGTCCATTACGTAAAAACAAACGCGCATGCATTTTAAAACAAAACAGCAAAATTGATTGAAAATTTGAAAATTATAATTTAATTTGTTATTATTTATTAATTTAATACTGAATAAGATATCTACGAATGGTTTTTAGTGGAAAAGAAGGAATACATTGGTATTTTTTGTTTTCTTCGACCAAATGTGCACGCTACTAATATGCACGCTGGTAATATGCATTAATTTTAATTTTTAAATCATGCATTTCTTGTTTGTTTCAAGTATAAATGCCTATAAATGCCATATAATAAACTTTTTATTAACCTCGCTTACTCTGTACAGACATCGCGTTCGGTTAATAAGATTAAGAAGCTAATAATAAAGAAAGTAGTTGTCAGAGGGTGTATACTGTTAGTCAGAACAATAAAAGTCTAGCACGTTAGTGAAAGTGGAAAATTCAGTTAACCGCTGTGACATATATTAGAAATGTCTCCTATTAGGTACCAAATGTCTCTTAACCCATTACGCTGCAATGTGTACAAATGCACCTGACTATATTATTTTACCCTAGAGTGCAGGGCCAACATGAAGTTACAGTATGCCACTGCATTACAGTAGATACTGTATGGCTAGTATAATCAACACACAAGAATGGAGGGAATCCATATTCCATACCACCATGTTACATAATCATTTTTGGAGTAACCACATATTAATAATTATGGTTAAAATGTGCTTGGACAAATTTATTCCACATCAAATATTGTATCAAGTATGAATATTCTACGTTGAACCATGATCGCGTCAATTATTACTAATACTAATTGGAAAACATGCCGAGCTCCATCTGGGAACATTTCAAGAAGGGGAAAGGTGATGCGGAGTGCCAACGCACTGACAGTGACACTGTGGCAGATATGTGAAGACGAAGGGAAATACCACAAACCTTATGGCACATCTCAACTCTCAAGATTAGCCACTTTGTGATCTATGGCACATTGCAGAAGAAAATGAAGTAATCTTTCTTTGCTCAAGGGTCTCTCTGACGGCGAACTACTGGCTTTAACTTCTCAAATGCTTCAGCAATGCTTGACACTTCATGAGGTGTCCTCAAGTTCCTCAACAACCGAGATTGGCAGTAAAAAACAACCAAATGAATGTGCGCAGCCAAGAAAACCATGATTGCAGCCCAGCATTGCCAAAGCATTTGAGAAGTAGTTCGCCGTCCGAGAGACCCATACCTAATTTTAAGAATTTTTTATCACTGCACATTTTTGTGCAAAGTTTAGCCGAACAGAAACACGCCCTGAAAATTTCTGAATACACTCTTATAGTAACGTGTAACAACAAAATAGGCTACAATTGTTATTCAAAAATGCCAAAATGAACATACACTGCACAGCACTCAGGGAAATTTGGGGGCCCAGGACAAACTTTAACTTGGGGGCTCTCGTGCATGATTCCATGTTCTAACACTATGATTAGGGGGTTTGGTTTTTTAAAATCTGAGGTCCCAGAAATGGCCAAATCCTGCATTCTGGAAGTCTAGTTGACAGTTATATCTATGTAGGCCTATATTTCACTGCAATTCTTTATTTGGGCCCCCTTTAACTGGGATCCCAGGGCAAATTGCACCCCTCTGGGCGTCCTTGACAGCACCTGCCAGTTACGACTATAGATAGAATAGATAGATAGAAAAACTTTCTTTATCCACGCTAACCCTGTCAACCGAGGCTGATTTTCACAGGGGGCATGTCTATCTATGACAGCTTAGTTTCATAATAACATGACTGAAGAAAATAAATATTTTCGTCCTAATGGCAAATGAAAGGCGGCTTACGTGCTTAGACGTGACAAACCTCTAGAGGAGTTCCAGGGGCATGCACACACAGTCAATTTTGTAATCTAGGCACTATGAAAGGGCATCTCCTGCAATGCGTGGGGACATTCTATAGAATTCTGAAAATTATACAGTAATTACAAAATCACTCATTTCATCTTCCAAACCCATAAAGAGATTTGGTGAGAGACTTTGTTTATCTGATGAACCATAAGTATGTTTTTAGTGCGGACGTTCGATAATTTGGCAGTCATCATTTCAATTTCAATTAAATCATTCACATTCAAAATGTTTCGCCGGATTAGTTCAGTTTTTCTGCTAATTGTCTCATTTTCTTGTGTTAATTAACAACTTATCAAAGCAAATTTTATCACTGCACATTTTACATTTTATCACTGCACATTTTACTTTTATCACTGCACAAATTGGTTATCACTGCACACTAAAATTAGGTATGGAGAGACCCTTCACCAAAGCTAGCCGGCCAAGTCGTAAGCTCACAAACAGCACAAAAGCCACAAATGGAACCTGAACAAGCAAATATGCTAGTATTTTTGGCAGAGAACTTATAGTGCATG